TAAATAAAACCATATGTTTTCAGCTTTCTAATAAATTTTACTAAATTAGAATTGATATATTCATTATTGAATAATTGTGAATTTTTCTTGGCCAATTTTTTTTTGTAACACACTGTATGTCTTGAAGCAAATATTATTAAAATAATTTCATAAAGACTAATCGGATATACTTGCTTCACTCCTCTGTTATAATATCTTTATTATCAAAGTTTCCCTACCTATTAATTCTGATGGTGATGACAATTTACCCATCTGTGCAAAATTCAACGGTTAGCGCACAATTTGATAACTGATTAACAAATTTTGATGACTTGACATGCAGATTAGAAATCACGAGTATCTTACTAATAAAGGGTATTTAATTGTCTATATTGGCTAAATTGCAAAATTTACCACAAAGTCATGGACACTAATCACTCTAATCAAAAACATTATAGGATGCAAAAATGGTTTTGGAAAAAAACTGGAGTACCAAAAAGAAAATATTTGGTGCATGATTAATACAGTGGTTGATTGGTATGGATGAAGTAACATCTATTACAGGTGATCAATTAAGAAATTATATTTCAAAAAAAAATTTTTTTTTTGAAATATAAAATATCAAAAGTCTGTCCGTGTATCCTTGCTATAGCAAGAAGAATACTAACTAATTTGTGGAAAAAACAATAAATAAAGATGATTGTTGAATCTGGACAAAAATAATTATGTTTAATTACAATTATTCTTTTATTAAACAATGATCCAAACTAATTGATTTTGTAGAAGATAATATTATAGCAACGATTTTATTACAAAATTTGACTAGTGACTTGAAAATGGATCACATATTCATGCGAAAGGTTTAACAGGAAAAAAATCAAAAAGATTAAATGTTCAATACATTTGTCATTCAAAGCCAATCCCAAAATTACTTATGCATTTTTATATAGATCTGTTGTATGTGAAATTGAAACTAATGTGAAATCGAAATTTATAATTAAAATTTTGGGTGGGGTGTTTAGATATTGTAATTGGCTAATTTGAATTTCACGTTATGTGAATTTGCAAATTCGCACAGATCCATAAATCGATAATTAAACGATCTTGATTTAACCAAATTCGCCAATTTCTACACAAACAAATAAAAAACGGGTTTTTAATGTGGTAAGAGCTTCCTTTTTTGTCAGGTTTTTACGTGCCGTGCGACATTTGAATTCATGAAATTATCCAATCAAATTCGAATATTACCAAATGTTTTCCTAGTTACACGCTGAAATTTATGTACTGTAGATTAATTACATGTTGTTGGTTGACATTGAAAAAAATTTTTTTAGACAACTTATACATATATATAATAGTAGAGGAGGAAATATAGATTATTCAAATCACTAGATAATAATAAAGACAATAACAATGTCAGAAATTAACAATGCAAACATCAGTTTAGAGCAAGAAGCAACTAACTCATTTATTGCATCATCATCTCTTGAACTTATACGCAGTTCAACCTCTAGTAGAGATTCCAACTTGAATAGACAAAAAAGATCATTTGAAACTCATTCATCAGTGACAATTGATGGTAAAAAGTACATGAATAAAGATGATTTCATAGCAGCCATAGCACCAGGCGAAGATTACAAAAAAATTAAAAAAGAACAATTTGGTATATTATTTAAAGTTGCTGACACTAGTAATAAAGGTTTAATTTCTTTACAAGATTTTATTATATTTGAAAATCTGTTATCAAAACCTAATGCAGAATATGAAATTGCTTTTAGATTATTTGATGTTGAAGGTAAAGGCAAAATTACCATCAATCAATTTAAAAAGATATTAACATCAAATTTAGAACCTGATAGTGTACCTTTTGACTTTGATTGTGATTGGTTGAAATTGTATGTTGGGAAAAAACCTGGTCTAAAACATGATTTAACTTATGAGGAATTTACTCAGTTGTTGAAAGGATTACAAGGTGAAAGGTTGCGTCAAGAATTCAAATATTATGATAAAGAGGGTATTGGTTATATTAAGCCTGGCGAATTCAAAAAAATGATTCTTTCAATATCAAAGCATAAATTATCCGATTACGTTTTAGAACATTTACCTACTTTATGTAACGTATCAACAACCAAAAAAATAAGTTATGCAGCAGTAGTTGCTTTTCATAATGTGTTGAGGCAAATGGACATGGTGGAAAGAATTGTGATGAAGGCTATTTCTGAGAGTAAAGATGGTAGAAAGTGGAATGTTAGTTAATTTATGAATTTCTTGTGCATTGCATGCACCTTCGTTCAGAAAATGTAATATAGTTTGACGATGTGTTTCTAAATTTGATGATGTCATTGTTTTAAACTTTAATAGATATAAGAACAAATATTAACAACAAACAAATATATTATTAGATGAAGGAGAGAAGGGAATAATTTTATATATAATATTATTATACACGTTGGTTTACATGCATAAAAAGTTATCGTGTTTCAGATCACGTCTGAATTTGGCCAATTTTTTTTGTAACACACTGTAAATTGCAAATTTTAGTACTTCAAGATGAAATGTATATATGTTAATTGAAAGGCTATTTTGTTGATAATTAAACTAAATACTTGATATAATATAAAATTATTAAAGGATGTTGAATCAAAGATGAATCACAACAACAACCACAAACTTATTGAAAACACTGATGATGGATGATATTCAACAACTCAACATCATTTTCAACAACAATTCAACAACATCATTTAACAGTCAAGGCCATACAACATAGCATTTGTAAATATTTGAATAATTTTGATAATGTTTCTCACAATGTGAACTTTGTAAAGATTGGTTTGGTAAAACACTGGAATCAGCACAATAAAACGTCATTTTGAGAATAAACATAGAAATAAATACTTATTGACAACAGCTCTACCAAACAACATTAAATTTTAAAATCACTGATCTATATGATCCAAAAGTAAAAACCTTTATTATATTTTGTTCAAGAATTTTTTGTTGGATTAGTTACTCGATACAAAAGATGTGGTTAAGCGAATGTTTTGTAGGTTTCCCAACAAAATGTCTCTCATAACTTTTTTTTTTGATGTTTTTTATAATTACCAATACAATGTACCTAATATATATATATATATAAATGTTTTTTAAATGTTTGAAAAAGATTTGGGATTTTTTGAGACTAAATTTATGGAAAAGTAAAATGGGTGTTTTAATGAGAATGATTTCTGAAAAATCAATAATAATTGATCAACATAATATATACAATCCTCGTCTTCTTCATTACTTCCCATAATCTTGATTTTCCTCTTCTGTTCTAACAATCTCATCTTTAAAAACAATTAATTTGGCCCTTTGAATAAATTCCTTGATTTTAATCATTGCCCTTTTCTCCATTTATTTCCACTCCACTTGATACTAAGCTTGTCACCCGTAATCAAATATCAAATGTTACAATGTTACAACATATCCGTAATGCTGCAACATGCCGTAACTTTACATATTATACATAGTGTTGCAACATAATCACGATGCAGTTGGACCAATTTTCTATTCATATTGTCCCGCTTTTAAAAACATTATTATTATTTAATATTAATTAAAATGTAATTATTAGAACAAAACAAACACAAAAAATTTGAATTCATTTATCTATTCATCATCTAGTCGCTGTAAATCAGCATGTGGATCCCATTAAACCATATCTCCACTTTCATCTATATCGTTTTTCTTGAAGGTGATTGATATCCAAGATTTAATGCTTAAAAAAATTAATGAAAAACAGGTTGGAAAGGTAATGCACGCATAATAAACATCACACCTAAAGCTTTATTGATTGTTTTATGCATGATTCTTCTAAATCAACCGAACAAAAATAAACCATCAATATGACGTTGTCCAGAATGTTCGGGAGTTTTCCTTGTTTAGAAAATGTTGACTTTGTATAATCAATTCATTTACTTCATTTTTGATAGTTTAATATGCTTTTGAGTATTGAGAAACATGAGAATATAAAAGATATGGGTCGGGCATCTTTAAAAGTGACAAACATAGCTTACACGTAACTTGATAATGTCAATTACCAAGATGGTTATCACGTGTAAAATATTCCCAAATATCACTCCAAGTTTATTTTTGTTACAAGTCATCATCCTTAATTATTATTATATTCGTGGGAGAAAAGAAATAATATAATTAGAAAAGTAAGGATCATGATATACTTTTTATTTGTATAACAAATATTACAACATTACGGTTAGTTGCGAACTCTATTTGATACATCATCATCATCAACATACCAAAGTTTTACTTGTGAATATTTAGTTTAAAAATTTTTTTTTAGAAATACAGAATTTCACATGCGTATTCCTCCTCAAAACCAAGACTATGCCTGATTATTAATATGACTGATACATGAGATCGCGGAGAAATTAAATAAAAAAAGTAATGAATCGCCCTCTTCCTCTTCAACTCTACAAATTGTAAGAATCCTTTGCTGTACAACTCTGATTTTCCAGATAAGAAAGATTTGCGTTAAATTAAAAAACTAATATTTCTCTCAATTATTATTTGGGGAAGAATGTCACCGTTAATATTTTTTGTTGATTTAATTAGTAATGCGTGAATGAATGAGAGAAAAGATCTGCATTTTTATAATAAATTTTGGGGCAAAATGTCAATCTTTGCACAAAAAATTGTACTATTATACTTTTTATGTATGAATAAATACAGTTTGTGCAGATTTTGGGGCCTCTCTCATTCATTCGCGCGGATCGGCAATTAAAGAAATTTACAATTGTTATATGAGCAAATGAATTCTCTTCCATTCACTAGCATTAATATATACAAATTTGGTCACGCATAACAATGGTATCCATGATCGAATCAATACCCTTGTCGCCTTATAAGTGGCTTGATAAGATTGATTATCTATTCGATTGATTACATCAAAACTGTTCATAAATAAGTATTACACATTCTAGACTACTAAAACACAATGCTTTTGGATTGAAGATTTGGTTTATACAAATTCATAAAATCAGTTGCTAGAATATAAACGAATAAAAAAATTCACACAACAGATCATGGGGCTTTGTGGTGGAGCAACGTCTACAAGCCCTTCCTCTTCTGTTATGAAATAAATCATTCGATCTTCTCCATCTTTTTGTATAGGTGAAGAAGATTGTGAGTAACCACGCAGACAGCCGTATCGAATCGCCAACGAGAGCTCTTTGATGTTTCGATCCCAGAATATGTCCATAACATCATTCTTCACATACAGCTAGCAGAGGAAATTCTCAAGATCATCATTACAAGGAACTGTTTTAATGGTATTTGTAGTCAGAAGTTCCATGAGTCTTCCTTTGGAGGTCGTATGTGTTATCTCCTACTCCTAAGCAAATTTAATTTGAGCATCATGCAGGGCAAAAATAAGGCTTATTTTTGATATAAAAAAAAAAAAAAGACTGACGAGAAGAAGATTACCTTCATCCTCGTCCATTGCAAAAAAATCAACTTATAGATTTCATCACAAACTTCTCAATAAGTCATACCATTAATTTTTCAGGGGTTTCAATCCCCTTGCTACTCATATAAATTCTGTAAACGAATGATATTTGATACAAAGACAACCTTCATCATAATGTTGCCTTTTATAATTACAATCTTTGTCTAGATATTCTACACCGTCAAAAGTCCATCCTACATACAAGATCAAATTTAATATGCGGTATAGGTGGTTTGAAATGATGTGGATGTGCTTGTCGAGTGGTTTGTTGGTGAAGTAACTACTGATCTTCCTTGTTGCGAGAAGTTGATCATTATCATGGATTATAAGTTTACTTGGCTCCTTATGACTATCATTGCAAATTTGAACTTTCCATAACCTAAATCTATCTGCAGCGAAACTATTAAACTACGTTATTTATTTTATTGAGCTTAATAATTTTACTCAAATGATTATATATCTAATCATTCAATGTAATTGATTACAAGTCATTGGTTTAATTTGAATAAACTTTATTCAAATCGAAACTTAATATGAGTTTACGTGTCTTTTGAAAAAATTTCATAATTTCGTAATCCACAAAGTTTTACATGCTAGGTGAAGTATTACCTAGAATCCCTTTTTCTGCCCGATAATGATTCGTTTATACAACCAGAAGGAACTCGAAGGTGCAGCAACAATACAATTACTTTAAGTATATGAATCCATAAGAAATTGATGAAGAGAATTAATTTCCATTTTTGATTTGTTATTTGTTTCCGAGTTTCTTTTAAATAGTTGTGAAGCGTTGAATAATAATATACATGTTAGAAAAAATTCGGAAGCGGGATAATCAAAACACACATTCTTCATGCTTGTCTCGGATCATGGATATTTATTAGTAAGTTTTATATATTATTTATATGTTTTGTGATTTCTCAAATAAGTATCTCGCCCATCTAGAGAACGAAAGATAAACGCAACATATGCTCTTGACAATACTAAAGGAATCTACATGGATTGAATGTTTACAATTAGTAGATTTGTTTAAATCATTTACTAATAAATCCATAGAGGCGAAAATTCATTGATAATACAATACGTTAAATAATATCGTATATATAATTTCTTACCTTGGAAACAATTAAACTGTAAATTTTAATTTACCCAGATTAAAAAGACTTGTTTCTTTCTATTTCTTCCTCCCGCATAATCTCACGGCTTTTAAGTGCCTATGATAAGAATAGAGGAAACAATTATTTAGAGATTAACCATTTTTTCATTAAAATTAATTTTAATTGGCTTGGAAGTGCGAATATCTTTTGGTATAGTTTTTCTATAATTGAATTGAATCAAAAGATGTAGAAAATTTTCTCAAAGTCATAATAATAGTTATTATTATCAATTATTTTCAGAAACGTTCGTTATTTTAAATAGAAAAAAAAAGAGCAAGAGCTTAAAATCTCTGTTCGTTATAGAGAGTATGAACTGTACGCAATGAGTTTAAACGAAATAAAGTTTTATTAAACATATATTAATTTGTTTAATATCCCTCTAAATTTTATAAATTATTTTAATTATATTATATACAAATACTTTTTAAAAAAATAAATTAATAATTTATTACAATGATAAAAAAAATTTCCTATAATGTTAATGATTTCCTTGGTATTTCTCTACGAGATTCTTCATCAATAATTCCAGC